TATTGACTTGCTATCCCTAATTCAGTGGCACTTCAGTGTATATTCATTTATTGAAAGTGTCTTTTAAGCTTTTTTAAAAACCGTTACAAAAGAGCTTTCTATCATTTCTTTCTATCTGTGAAAAAACTATATACTCCAAAATAATGCAGAAATATGTATATTTGGAATTAAAATTATGTGCTGTTGTAAGTGTTTGTCTCAAATATTTTTAAAAAATTTTTTTTCGTTAAGAAGCTGTTGTTCCCATATTTAAAACAGTATTGTATTTTCTATCCTATTTTTACATTTTAATGTAAAAGCTTTAACAAAATGTAAAAAGCAATTATATTTGAACCCTGCGAGTTTTTTTTTAAATCTGTTTATGAAAAATTCTATTTAAATAAATAGCATTCCTTTAATAAATTTGTATAAAATAATTACCTTACTCACTGTTTACTTAAATGTTCATCCATTAAAATAATATTTAGAACATTAAGGAAAAGGAAGTATTTTAAATAATGAGGTAATATTAAGGATGTCCCAAAAATAGTTTACAAACTTTATGCGCTGATCTGTCAGACCATAATGAATAAGATTTGCATAGGAAGTTGTATGCAAATCTGTCACCGGCTGGATTTTGCGTATATTACTGTAATTTTTCCAACAGAAAAAAAATCCATAACTACATTCTCTGCATCGTTCTGGGCTATTTGGAGGAGCTTTTTTAGAGATTAACATCTGTAAATTAATGAGAATGACCTCCCCCTCTCCAGAAAAAAAGCCCATTTATTTCTGTCTGTATAAAATTATCCTGTTTCTTTTGAACATTTTGTTTTGGTGTCTCTAGTGTCAGGATTCCATACACAATCTAAAATTATATATACTCTGAAAATGCATGGTTTCCCAAAATATTTATTAATAACCCATGTTTATACCTCCCATTTGACTCTACTAGTGAAATAAAGTTCTTCCATCTTCCCTAATTTCGGCTGAAAGAGCACTGATTTTCACAGGAATTTTGTTTTTTAGCTTATGAATAATAATTTTCCAAACAGAAAAAAATTAAGAAATCGTCAGATTTATTTGGTTTTAAGTAGCCAAAAATTAGCTTTGGAACTTATTAATTCATACTGGAATAGAGGAATGTAGCTTGTTTTGTAAGAAATCTCCCAAGTGAGCTATACAGTATGATTACTAAAGAAATGTTTTAAGCTGTACAAAGTAGTCAGGCACATGCCACTTTCTAATCAGTATCAATTTAATCCCTAATCAGTTCATAATATGAGTATAATAATACCATGAGTATTTGAGTTAATGATTTTTTGTATCTTCAGGAGTGATTGTGACTGCATTTCAAAAATCCTGAAAAATAGTGTTCTGTAAAATTCCATATAATTTCAGAGTATTCATGTAAAACACATACATATTTGCATACACACATAATTTTAAAATCTTTTTAAAGAATTTCATCAGTGAAGCAAGAAGTATAATTTGTTCTAATTCATTAAAAATGACTTGTGCTTTTCTGCAGCAGGTTACATAGTTGCTTATATTTGGTTATCTCAACATTTAAAAAAAGAACTAAAAGGTTAAGCTTGCTTTTTTGGATGGGTGTTCTGAGAACTACTGCATTTACATTCTTCGTGGCTAGTAATAAAATATCGATTCAAATTCAATACAGTCAGAAGGCCATTTTGATGTAGGCAATAGCTTTTTTGCTTAACCTTCTAAGTGTTAGATTCGAACTATGCATTTTAAGAGACATTAGAGATAAGAAAATGCTAAAAAGAAAAGAATGGTTCATGGAATGTAAATAATTTTAATAAGTTGTTCAGTTGTGCAATAAATTATCCCCCAGAACCTTCACCAAGAGTCATCAGAAGGATTTTTTGGCCAAAAGCTTTATATGTAGTTTTGTGTAATGAGAATAAATAGCATTTCAATCTGTACAGCATCTAAGTTATTACTGTTCAAGGATGTTCTTCATTTTGACATATCACCAATACAGTTGAATGAACTTTCAATTTTGGTTCCATTCAAGCAAGGTAACAGAGATTTAATCATTTTTGTCAATAGTGGATATTTGTGTTTTCCATCATCTTTCAATCTAAATAATTTAACCCAAAATTTTACTATATCAGTTTTTTTCCTATTCTATACAAGACAAACAACATAACTATTTTGCATAAGGCAAACTTTGCTCTAACAAGAAATTTGACCTCCTCCTGAACTTTCTAGTCTAAACTGTTTTAAACTTATGCAATCTTTGAATGTTATATTTGTTCTAAAAATATTTTTTTAAATATTAATTTTACAGGTTTGCTGAGTACAGAGTCTACATTTCACAAATCTGGAAATTCTGGATTTGAGAAAGTAAAAATCCGGAATTCTGCCTATATCCGGATCATAATCCCCCATGTATCTGAAAAAAAATTCTCTTTTCAAAATGCAGAAAGATCACAGTAATTCTGGAAAATCAATTTAATAATTTTTGAAAATCATTTGAAATTTTTCAAATTTGTCAAAAAGGGAAAAATTAATTTAATGAGGAATTTGTTTTAAAGAAAAAGAAGGCTAAAACTATGAGAATCAGATTTCTTCTGTAGATTGTGAAGAAAAGTTAGGTAAAATTAAAGCTGGTGTTACATGCGTTTTTTAGAACAGGTATTTTAGTTGATAACGGAATTTAGTATATGTGTGCAGGGCATTTTAAAAGGGATATCATAATTCAATACCTTTTGGATGATTGTTCATGGAGTCATGGCTCCAGCGTAAGGAATGAGTCAAATAAGGTAGTATTTAAACAGTGACATTTTTCTTGCGTTATCTTGTCGTAAAAATGGGCGAAAATAAAATTTTTTATAGATCTTCTACCAAAACGTTTGTTGTTTACTCCTTATCCTAATAAAATCTGTTCAAAGGAAACTCAGTTAATGAAAAAGTTGTCCCCTAAAAATTTAATTATATATTTAAACTATGTTTCTTGATAAAAATATGCACCAAAGAATGCCAATTTTAGGAGCCATATTGAAACTGAAGCTGGCTAAATTAAAATTTTAACATATTTGTTGTGAAAGGTAGCTTCTAGAAATTTGCTTTTGAAAATTTAGTCATGTAACTGACTTTGGCAATATACTTTTTCCTAAAATAGTCTACTCACACAGACTGATGTGCATTAAAAAAAGGTTCATTCAGAATTACATCCAGGCTCATGCATTTAAAAATGTTAAATTCTTTCAACATGTTTTCAGTTATAAAAAGTAGAAATTGAATCTCAAGCACTAAAATTAGTATTTTGTTATTTTATAATTCAATTTGTTTTATTCGAATTAATTTATTTTCTCTAATTTATAAGATTTTGTACCTGCTATTAAAACAATATTTTTATGTTAGAGAACTTATTACAGTAAATAAGAAAATTTTTTAGAGTTCATGTTTATTTTTCATGCGACTCTGTATGCTATATTAATATATCCCGTAGATTTAAGTATAAAAAAGCATTATGCTGTTTGCATTATAATATGTATGGGTTTTCTCTTATATTAAAAGTAAAATACAGGAACAATAAGGAAAAATTTTATAATGCTTATGTTAGTTTGCAGTTTCTTGAAAGTTATTGTAATTTTTCTTTTATGGTGATTGCTTCCAGTTTGTCTGTAATGTTCTACTGTTGTCTCAACATCAAAATATTCTGTAAGCTTACTGTTTTGGTGCTGTTCAGATGACATAATATTATTTTGATGCTATTTAGATTCTTTCTATATAAAACTAATTTTACTTATTTCTGTTGTATTTTGTTTCAGTTCAGAAGTCATTTAACCTGCATTTAAGTTGCTGGCCATTACTTAAAATGGTTTCTTCCAAATTCTAAACATTTGATATCTTCATGTTTCATGTATGGGAGAATTACTTTTCTTGTCCACTTTGGTAGTCAGAATAAATTACTGTTATGTATAAGTATGAGAATTCTTCTGTAGAACTGTGAAATGATAAAAATCATTCCTCTTCTTTGCTAGGGAATATCTGAAGTATTTCCTTACCTTGTGAATTGTCATTTAATAAGTTTTAATTGTGGTTCATTTTGTCACCTGCCAGATATGGAACATTTGATGCCTTAATGACTGATAAAATCATCTTCTAGGTTTATAAAATCCAAAATCATTTCATAATGCACAATGTTTTTGAGGTATCCCATATAAGGAAGTCCATTGTGGTAAGGTCAAGGCTTCTTTCTGGCAGGCTAAACCATTGAAGTACTACTCCTATTCCAGCCATCTGAGCAGTGACTTCAGATATAAGTTCACATCTTACTTTAAAATATGTTGTGCAACACATGGAATACAAGTCAAAAGCACTTACAATGAGACAACCTTCAGGCAGTTTTACTATTTGAAATAGTTTCATATTTGTAACAGCTTTCAATTAATACATTTTTATGATCCTGTCAACTACAAGAACTCTTTTTTTTTTCAGCTTAATGTTGAATTTTTAAATTGTATTTCAAACTCCACTTTTAGAAATTTATTTTACTAAATTATATTTTAAACGTAATATGTGGGTACTTTCAGGAACATGAGATTGTTGTTAACAAATGGTCCAAACGATTTAAAAAATTCCTTATTTAGTGTAAAGGCAGTAAAAAAGTTGTCTTACGAGGTTGAATTAGAACTGTTTTGTTTTTAAGGTTGAATTAGAACTGTTTTGTTATTTTATGTTTGTTTTCCTGTGCTATGCTGATTTTTTTAATTTAATTTATTTTTTTAATCATTAATCTGGTTTTCATTTTGGTTTGAATAAAAATTTCTGCTGAGGTTCTTATCATTGTTTAGAACAGAAAAACCCTTAAATATTTTTAATTTGTGTGCCAAATTGCTTTCTTCCATTTGGATCTATGGCACAGAATCTTATGGTACTCAAAGATCTTACTTAATCAAAGTATTTATTGTAATATTGCATTTCAATATTTGACACTTTTTGTTATTTTTAGGAGTATATTTCATTTCATTATTTTTTTCCCCCAGATAAATATGAGAAATCGGATCCCAGCTGTACCCCTTTCCGAGTATTATGCAAATGCAATTCAAAAAATTGCAAAAAGTACTTGTGTTAAAAGATCTTCATCATTTTTCTGTGAAAAAAAATTTTAAGTCATTTTGTGTTTGCTTCAGTGTAAGTTTTTAGTTATATAAGTTTTGGTTGATACTTTTTATGCAAGTTTTAACGTCAGATGTATTCTAGTGAGCTTAGTTGTTTTCCAGTTAAATATCTGAATGCTGCTTTGTAAAGCTCAAAATCTGTACATATGAATTTCAGTTTTGTATTGTGTTTTACAATGTAATGGATATTAAGTACATATGAATTTTTGTTTTATCTATTAAGGTAGGTGTAATACTTGTAGATGCATATAAAATCCATAAAATGAATGTTCACAGTCCTGTTGGTCACTATAACTTCTTCATTTTCATACTAATAGAATGTGATTCATATGTTTGGAAACTTCAATTTAGTAATTTAAAAAATTGTAATTGTTTTGTTTCACTGTATTACATTTTGTAATTTCGTTATTTATCAGTGTAATGCTTTATAACTGGCCATGTTTAGAATAAAGAATGTTATGGACAGTTTCTGTATTTGGTTCATTTTGCGTCTAATGGGATGCCATAAAAGTCCAATATGTATTTTTAGCTGTATGTAAGCCTGCCCCTTTTTTAGAGCCTTACAACCTAATGAAGGAAAATGATTTATTAAAAATAAGATATAATTTTCTAAATGTATTTGTACTTAAACTGGCAACTAATGCAGCTTTTATTTTTGTATTATGGAGAGAAAAAAATAAATTCTTATTATGCGGTCGAACTGATTATTCTTCAATCTTTGATAACTAACGGTATGTTTTAATTATTCATGTGCTATGCATGCATCTAAATTACAGTAAAACTGTCCTTTATCAGTCCCTTTATTTACAGATTATTGAGTGTGATAATTCTCTTAGTTCTCATTTTATACTTTAATATTTTTTCTCATAAGCCCATAGGTAAGAAATGTAAGGGGATAGTGTTGGAATCGCTGAAAGAAGCAAGTCAAAAATAAAAGCAACAAGTCAGAAATGTAGCTTAGGTATTCCATTCATGAGACTTGTTGAAAAACTCATTGAAGTCAGTAGAAAACTAGTTAAGGTGTTTAAATTAAAGCATCGCCAGGTGACTATATAATTAACAAACTACTACATTATTTGATACTTACAAATATCAGATGAAAAGATAAAATGCATTAATGATAGCTGTATGGGAAAATAAGCATGATCTTCTGTATTTCTTGTGAAAAAGTGTAATGTAATAAACAGTTTAATAACCTTAACTAATAGTTTAGATATTTGTCATGTATTAAATTATCTTTTCTTTTTTATACTTTCATTATTCCTCTTCACAAATTATGGAACTTATTTCATATTTTCATAACTTTTTTTTTTTTTTTTTTTTTTTTTTTTTTTTGATCTAGAATATTTGAGTAAGAATCTAACCTTGAAATGGAATTCAAAAATAATTGTAATGAGTAAAGCATTAGTAATTGTTCTGCATCTGCATGTAAGATTTTTCCTGTTTGCAACTTCTGCTTTTTTTTTTTTTTTTTTTTCCATACCACTTTGCTCACAGGATATCATATATTTAGTTTTACTATGTTTACTGACTGTATCAAATGTGATACCGGAGTGCAGTGTCACTGGCAGCCTATTTGATATGCTGAAATGAAACATTTTAACTGAAATTTTAAATGCATGAAAATGATATAAGAGTGCAGTGAAAAATAATTGAATGTCTTAAGCATTAGCACTGTTATGAATGTTTATTTACTGTTTTATTCTAATAATGTAAACTGCATGATGCTTACAATGCATATTCAGAGCTTAGAAATGTATGCACAGTGCAGTCGTCGTAAAATTTTGTATGACAATATGATATAATACATACTGATATTTAAATTCTTGAATTTTTTTACTTTATTATTATATAGATATATTTTCAACATATAAATATATTTATTATTAGAAACTGAATTTTAATTAATTTTATTTGTTTTTTAATTAATTAATTAATTAGAATTATTATTATTTGTGTGTGTGTGAGGATGTGTGTGCGCACGTGTGTTTGTGTTATTGAAAATATTAGAATTTTCTGTTTATATTATACCATTTAAGTAATGTATGCTAAAATCCAAATAATTGAATAAAGAAGATTATATTCGAATTATTTTTGTATATTAGGCGTAGCTGCAAAATGCACTTCGGCACCCTGGGGAACTTCAGTGTCTTGGCACCAGAAGCGACCAGGTTAAAACTGTACAACCAAAGATTAATTATTTCTGATTGACTTTGGTTATACACCAACTACCTCTACATCATAAGTATTAAAATAATAAGCATAAATAAGAAAAATTTATAATAAAATTTTAAGAAAAAATTAGAGGAACCAAGCATAACTTGAGATAAGTTAAAGAAAAAATTTTGAAGTATTTTAAAGATTTTTTTTGTATTTTATATTTTTGGATATTTTTTAAGTTTTTTTATGTACTACAACACTAATGATCAAAGTGGAAATTAAAGCAATTACTTTACTTTATACAAGCATATTGAACATATTGTTCTGAAAAGTAGAAAGCGACTAAACATTCTTAAATACATTGCAGGTAAGGACTGGGGAGCTGATGCGACTACCCTCAGGACTACTTATTTGACACTCATTTGTCCTGTACTCGAGTTTGGGTTTCCAGTTTATTGTTGTGCCTCTGATTCCAACCTGAAGAAATTAGAAAAAGTTTAATTAAGTGTTGCCCGTATTATTACTGGGATGAGGCACAGGTACCGTATGGAAATAGCCCTTTTTGAGGCCGATTTACAGTCTCTTCAGGCTAGAAGACTAGCTGGTCTTGTAAAATACTTTAGCAAACTCTCTAGCTATGGCCAATTCAGTAAAACTTCAGCATACCTAAATAAATAAAAATACTGACAAAGACTTTAAAAAAAAAACACCCCTTTTGGCATTGTTGATTCCAAGAGCCTACTTTTCTGAACTGTTGAGCCTCATTCACTGCATTACTGTTTAGACCCATCAGAGGAACTCTCCAGGGTTCGCTTTTGCTGTAACTTTTCCACTCCTATAAATAAGAAAGATTATATTACTGACCACCTTAGACAGTTAGGCCTTGGAGGTAATAGACAATATCCTCAAACATGTTATTATGATCTTCACTGATGTCAGCAAAATTGCTGACTGTGCAGGTAGCTGTATTTATGAGACCCCCGAGGAGAAATGACACTTCGTCAACATAATCCGTTCACTGTTCAATTTTCAGAAGTTATATTATTATTATAGCAATCAATTTAGAACTCAAGGCTATACTAACAGAATAATTTGGAAGATCTTTGGATCCTATCTGATAGCTGAAGCTCACTTCAACATCTTAATAACTGGATTTACGTGGGCAATAAGCCTAGTATCTCTGTCCTAAAAAAACTACACCTAATTTCTCAGTATCATGAGATCTAATTTCAGTAGATCCCAACCCATGTGGATCTTTGTGGCAATGAAATGGCAGACAAACTAGCAAAGGAATGCTGGCCTTTTAACTCCCTCCTATTTTGCCCTTACCTATCTGGAATTATTTTCTCTGAAAACATTACATTCATTTCATTCATTTTGTATTTTTAAAAATGATTTTTTAAATTTAATTGAACTCAATTAAAATATTAATTCGAACTTTTAATTCATTAAAATTTTCGAATTTGGCAGTTTACAACATATTTTCACAATCTGTAACAGTTTGCAATATTTTTACAATCCTTTAAAGTTGGCAACATTGTTTCATACAGAACAAGCATTTTATACTACATAAGAGTTTACAATAGATCACACAGGTAACAGCTTAATACTCAATTGTGCTTAGAACTAGTGTCCTCTATTTATACAATTAGCAGACACAAACTACTCAACCTCACTTTGTTTAGCAAATGCTACTCCACTCTCCAGGATACAAAATATGTAGTTCCAAGGTAAATTAAAAACTTACTATTTGCTTGCCTTTTTCTTATTATTTTTGTATTTTTATAGATTGTATTTAGTTTATTTTGGTTTACATGCATAATTTGTGTCTGGAAACATTCCAATAGGCAAGGGTTTCTAAATTACTTTTTTCTAATTAATTACATTAGCAATATACTTTTTAATTAATATTTTTGTTTGATAGTCGATTTGCTTGCTAAATTTCTCGAAATTCTTTAATAGTTAAAATTTCTTTATGAATTCACTACATTTGGTTTTAAATATTACTACACCCATGCCTATATGGCTGATGAAACATGAATTGAGTAATTGAAGAGTTAAGTTTGAAGGCAACTTCTCCTTGACAGATCTGTCTCCTGCCTGCTCAAATTATTCATTTATGCAAATTAATAGTCTTAAAATTATTAAAAATTTTTTTTTTTTTTTTTTTTTTTTTTTTTTTTTTTTTTAAATATTTTTTCATGGCTTTAGGTAGTTGCGTTTAAATTACATATGCTCTCGGAATTTAAATAATATTGTAAATTAGTTCGCAGCAATAATTAATCTTTTATTTATATTCAGTTAAACTTTCATAATTTAAAATTTAAATTAGCTTTATTACGAATGGAGAAAATTTGTTAAATACAAATCATGGTAAAGTGGTTGGCGGCCCCCAACCATTTCTGGCACCTGGGCAACAAGTCTGGTTGGACTCTAACGCTTGAGTGTGACAAGTGCTTCTGAACTGTGCTGTCACATATTGCCAGTTGTCATGTTATGAGCCTCTCTTTCGAAGAGGGTAGGAAAAATCTTTGCCATATCGTCAAGTGCCAAGAACATCAGTCATCTGCCGAGCACATATTAAGCTGCTTGGGCCTCTCTAGGGAGGATATTTACTCCAATACCATCCTTGTGCTCGACTTTCTTAGAGTCAGCGGTCTTTTGGATCTTGTCTGACTTCATCAGAAACTGGAGGAAAAACAACAACAGCAACATTAAAGCAATTAAAATTGAAAGGCTCCCTGGTTACTTGATCATTAAATCAGAATGCAGTAGAGGTATGAAGATTTTATATGCAAAATGATAGCTTAAGCATTTTGTAGGTGTGTATAGACTTTCTGGGGTCGGGAGCTCCAAGAATGGCTTCATCATTATTAGCATCTTTATTAGAACTGAGGCTGAAAGAGTGTGGCATCTTCTGTTATTTGGTGGAAAAGATACCTTACTGTTGACCAATGCTGGAATGCAGCTGCTTCACTGAGCTGAGAATTTAAGAGTGTAGATGGTCAGTTCTTAAAAAGTTAATCAGTTTTTTTTTCAATTTAAAAAAATTAATTTTGATTAAATCGTTTCATTAAAGCATCAGTTGGTTTACTGTTGAAATCTGCATGAATCTTAATGCTATGACGTACCAAGTTGCATTTAGAATTAAATGGAGGGTCTTTGAAAAATTCAAAGTTTTGTGATATATGTCAGATATATTTACAGTGGTACCTTATATGGCATATACATACATATAAACCCCAGAGCAAACTACCAGTGTTCAGCTACTTTAACGCTCTGCCGTTTGTGGGCCTTTATGAAATGGA